GACCAAATGAGATCACTTTCTCATTTTTTTCAAGTCATGGTTTCATTTTGAGATCTGATATATAGTCACTTTGCATGTTTATTTAATGATTAGTCCCAGCGGGATTCATGCCAAGAAATGTATGAGACCAGACAAAATGAAATCAAATGCGAAATTCATGGTCCCGGCGGCCAGTCTACTCTTGCCGTAGTTGTAAAAACTGTCTTAAATTACATATTGTCACATGTAATATACATTACATCAATATTAAACATTATTACATTTACAATACTGTCACTGCAGATGTTATTAAAATTATACAGATAGATATTATTAGCATGACTGTGAACACTCTAATAAAAGCTCTGAAGGCATTCTGATAGATACAGAGTCTTATCAGTCTGCTATATTTACAGTAGTTTATTTATTCATTCATTTTACTATTTTCTTTATTTTTATTCTTCAACTCTTGTTAGGTAGGTCTCTATGAAATCTTTGACAGAAGACACTATTATTTTTATATGTAATATTCTTTCTTCAGTTATAGAACTACTCTGCTGAGTTGTAAATGTCTACTCAGTAGAGCAGTAGTTAAGAAAGATGTTGAATTCTCTCTCTACAGATTAACTGCTTCTGTATAAGTAAGGTGTTCACTGATCACTTGATGAATATCTACATATATAAAAGCCCGTATAATAAATAGATCTTAATAATGAATCAACTACTACATTATATCATCTTCATTAAAATTGTGATTCAATGAATAATTTTAAACAATTACAGTTAAAGAAAGTTTTTTTTACAATTCACAGATAAACTGACCCTGTGACTGTGTCTGAGATCAGAATCAGAATATTTAATAATCTTATTATCAATTTGATTAATCTTATTACATGATTTTAAAATTAGATAGTAGTCTTATACTGTTTTATTAAGACTTACTGTCTACTCTTATCACATTTTTCAAATGAGATCATGATTTTCACTTCTTAATTTAAATTTCTTTTATTGCTTTAAATGACTTCAAATCTCATTTAAGTGTTATCAAAAAGTGTTACTTTTAAAAAAATTAAAAAATAGTCTAAAAAAAACCTTAAAATGTCTAAAATGTCTAAAAATAGTGACTTTATACAAAGAATAAGACTAAATAAGATTAAATGAGATTACTTTCTTATTTTTTCTAAGTCATGATCTTATTTTAAGATCTGATGAATAGTTACTTTGCATGTTTTTTTAAGACTTAGTTTCAGCGGGATTCACGCCAAGAAATGTATGAGACTAGATTAAATGAGATCAAATACAAAATACATAGTCTCAGTGACCAGTCTATTTACAGATATCTCTAAAAATTATGTATAAAAACTCAATTCAAAAGTATTTACGTATTTTTTTTAAAGAAATAATTTAATTCTATGAAAAATACTTAAAAATATTGTTTATTAAAATAAATTTATTGACAGATTCAGAAAATTCCTCTATTTTCAATATTAAAAGTAATATTTCGTAAATAAATAATAAGTTCTTTGAAAGTTTTTTCACAGAAATTATCTGCAGTTCAGTTAACTCTTTCAAAGTTTCTGTAATAAAGTGAACAGAGATTGAAGTATATAAGTTTTTAATTCTTTCAGTTATAATAAGCAGTTGCTGATTAACAGAGATTAAAATGTAAGAATAAGTACTTACAGATAATTGTTCAGAGATTTATAACTTGATATAATATATACTGATAACTACTAAAAGTATTCACAGTAAAAAAATAAATGTAAAGATTCAATGTATAATAGTATTTAAGTTAAGTTATAAATAGTAGTTACAAACTTCAGTCTATATAAATTGTGTGTAGTCAACAGCTGTTAACTCTATTAATTATATAAAAATTGAAATAAAGATATAAAATTCATAAGAAGCAGAATTTCTTATAATAAAATTATTATTTAATATTAATACTGTGTAATAACATTAATTAATTTAATAATAAAATTGTTAAATATTTTAATTATGATTTCTGATATAATCACTAGTCAGTCTATATATTACAGTATTTTTTATACTAAAAAGTTGATTTTTCTATAAGAAATAGAGAGATCAAAAACGCTAGTTATATTATATTATATATATCTCATTTTATTATAAATAAATCAACTTTTTCAATAAAAAACACTGTAATATAATTTCAGTGACTGACTAATTAATGCAGTCACTCAGTATTATTTTAATATGAGAAATTTAAATATGTGAGTTTGAAATCAGCAGAAAATACATTATATTCAGAACTTAAGTATTTTAAATTATAATAAATATAAAAATGTATTAATTACTGCAATGAATTACTCTATTTTTCAGAGCTGAGAAGTTATTATTATGTACATAATATATTCACTTATCACTCATTTATATTTTTTATATTTTTATTTTCTTAATATAATTTCAATATTTGTATTTTCTTTTATATAATTAATATTTAATCTGTATTTAATATTATAGAAGAATTTATTATACAAGAATTTATTATATACTTTACTTGTATATAAGTATAATAAAAGAATAATAATATTAATAATAATAATAATAATAATATTATAAGATAATTTTATATAATATTATATATATTATTTTAAATTTATAAAATTAAATAACTGACTCTGCAGTCTGTATTAGACTAACTGTATAACTGTATCTGAGATCAGAATCAGAATATTTGATAGTCTTATTATTAATTTAATTAATCTCATTACATAGTAGACTGATCACTGAGATTATTAACTTTATATTTGATCTTATTTAATCTAATCTCATACATTTCTTGATGTGAATCCTGCTGAGACTAATTATTAAAAAAACATGCAAAGTAACTATTTATCAAATCTCAAAATGAAATCATGACTTAGAAAAAATAAGAAAGTGATTTCATTTAATTTTATTTAGTCTCATTCTTAACATAAAGTTACTATTTTTAGACATTTTATGATTTTTCTTAGACTATTTTTAGTTTTTTAAAAAGTAACACTTTTTGATAGCACTCAAATGAGATTTAAAGTCATTTAAAGCAATAAAAAGAATTTAAATTGAGAACTGAAAATAATGATCTTATTTGAAAAATGTGATAAGAGTAGATAGTAAGTCTTACTAAAATAATATGAAACTACTATCTAATCTTAAAACTGTGTAATGAGATTAATTAAATTAATAATAAGATTATCAAATATTCCGATTATAATCTCAGACACAGTCACACGGTCAGTCTATTACACAGTATTAAGATTAGATAGTAGTTTTATTCTATCTTAGTAAAACTTACTATCTACTTTTATTATATTTTAAAATAAGACTATGATTTTAACTTCTCAATTTAAATTTATTTTATTGCTTTAAATGACTTTAAATCTTATTTAAGTGTTATCAAATATTGTTACTTTTTAAAAAATTAAAAATAGTCTAAAAAAACTTTAAAATCTCTAAAAATAGTAACTTTATATCAAGAATCAGACTAAATAAAATTAAATAAGATCACTTTCTCAATTTTTCTAAGTTATAGTCTTATTTTAAGATCTGATTAATAGTTACTTTTTATGTTTTTTTAATAATTAATCTTAGTGAGATTCACAGTAAGAAATGTATAAGATCAGATTAAATAAAATTAAATATAAATTTTATAATTTTATCAGTTAGTTTAATCTATATAATTAATTTAATAATAATGATAAATATAATAAAAATATTAAAAGAGAGATAAAAATAGTGAAAGTAATAGAAAAAATTACAAAGTGATAAAGTAAAAACAATTAGATTAACTATGTAACTGTGTCTAAGATTAAAATCAGAATATTAAATAATTTCATTACTAATTTAATTAATCTTATTATATAGTTTTAAGATTAGATAGTATATTTATACTATCTTAGTAGAACTTACTATCTACTATTATTATATTTTTCAAATAAGATTATAATTTTCACTTCTTAATTTAAATTCTTTTTATTACTTTAAATGACTTTAAATCTCATTTAAGTATTATTAAAAAGCATTACTTTTTAAACAATTAAACATAGTTTAAAAGAAACCTTAAAATGTCTAAAAATAGAAACTTGATATTAAGAATGAAACTAAATAAGATTAAATAAGATTACTTTCTTATTTTTTCTAAGTTATAATCTTATTTTAAAATCTGATAAATAGTCACTTCACATGTTTTTTTAATAATTAGTCTCAGTAGAATTCATGCTAAGAAATATATAAAATCAGATTAAATACAATTAAATATGAAATTCATAATCTCAGTAGTCAGTCTAAAAACAGTGATATTTTTAAAAAGAAATCAGAGATAAATAATTACTAAAATAATATTATTAAGTAGATATTATTAAATATTTTTAGTAAAATATATGTAATAATATATTATAGTATTTTTTATATAAAAAAGTTGATTTTTCTATAATAAATAAAGAGGTAAAATTTTTTTCTTATAATAAATTTAATTATAGTAGTTAATTTATATAGAAAATTTCAATTAAAAATAATATTATAATTTTTAATTTATTTATATTATACTTCAAAAATATTGTTATTTTTTATAAAATATTATTTTAAATTAATTTATTTCTATTTAAATTAATTTTATTTTAAAAAATATTTAATAAAGTTATAAAATTATATTTTTAATAATTATTTTAAATTTATAAAATTTTAAATATTATTAATAGTAAAAAAGTATTTTATTTATTTTATTTATTAATTTATTATTTTCTTTTAAACTTTATTTAATATTTAATTAATTAATTATTTTTCATTTTTAATTTAACTTCTTTAATTTAATAAATAAAATGATAATAAAATATATTAAATTTTTCAATTAAAAGTATAATTTTTTATTTTAAATTATATTTATATATATTATAAACTTATTTTTCAATAATCTGATTTTTAATAAATATGTTGAAATGAATTAATTCATAAAAATGATGTGATTGATGAAAATGATAAAAATAACATTATTTTGATAATCATGTTGTGATGAGATGCACTCACCTACAGATCTGGTGGGTTTTTAGCGTAGGCACGTGTAGTCTGTTTCTCATTCTCACCGCCTCTTGGCTCAAACGCGCTTTCTCCCGAACTCTGTCCACCCTGCCAACTGTGCCCGCCATTTCCGCTTCATCCTCATAATCAATTGCCTGGCAAGCTCTCTGTCCCGCTCCACCTCGCCGGTTGTCGGTGTTTTGAAGTGCCACACTCGGTTTGACCGAATATTCGGCCCGCGGCCTGCCTAAGCGCACCACTTGCCCACGGATCGCGATCAAAACGTCATATTTCCCAGCATCAGGTTTAGTCCCAACATCCTGGTATCCCCGCACCATATTGCATCAAGCTCGCCTTATTCAAAGGATGGTTCTATACAAATGGATTTCATATGGAGGCTATCATCCGACCGATATTTCTAAATCACCCCACGTTACCTATCTGCGCCTGACTTTACGTCGCTGCACTTTTTGAGCTCCCAAAATGCTCGGAAGACTTTTAAATACTGCGGCGTCGTCGCTCAATCCCGCTGCATACAGCTCTCGAAATTCGTCTCAGCTTGAATCTGTGACCGAGGAAGAACATACTTCTGGCCTCTTGTTCCCAGACTCTACTCACCTTCGACGATCGAATACTCACGCCTACCCGCTACAAACTAGCGTCTTGTCCCCAAATGCGTCCGCGGCGAGCAGCTTCGACGATCGAGGTGGATTCGAGTTAGACGCAACAAAAGATTTTAGAGTCATCGTTGCCCAGAATGCCCTGGGCGATCGTGATGAACCTTGTATCCTCCTCGACAGCCAAGATGTAAATGCCCCTGGTGGAACTGTCGGGCTTGGCCTCAATCCACGGCCGTCCCAACAAGGGCATAGCCACTCTCGAAGCTCAAGCCTGTCAAAACCCTCAAGGAGGGCTACAGCTCTCAAACCTCATGCATTAGATGTAAATCAATTTTCCGGATCATCTAGCCTCAGAGAAGCAGACTCCTCGATGTCCGGTGCTCTATTCCGTGCGAGGTATCGAAGTTCGACATTTTCACCCACCTCCGAGGATAGTAGGTCTTGTCAAAACCGCATGACGGCTGATTCAAACGAATCTGGCCTTTTAAACTGCATTTTTGGTAGCAGTGCTTTTAGCTATCGTGGATCTTCCACAAAAATGCATATCCTTCCAGCGGAAACGGAGTCAACTGGGGATGTCGAAGGATTCAGTGCTCACAGCCTCAATCGTCGTCTTCCACTCCCCCGCGCACATACTAGTGGACATAGTTCGAGCTCATCTAGTTCATCACAGGAAAGATTACGTGTGGGACAGGATATCAGGCCCTCCACTACCACGAAAGTGACCATCCTTGTAACGAGGATGTTCAGTGTCAACCTTCCTGAGAGCCGCAATCCTTCAATGGATCAATCTGAACAATTATATTCGCCAAATTCTCAGCAATTTAGGGATTCAGAATTTCCATTTCTGGATGCAATGAAACGGAAAAAAATAAAGGAAAAGAAGACGCCCATGTATGCAGTTGCAATAACGATTAAATTGCCCCTTGCAAGTCGCAGTAATGGACGTCCAGCATCTCGGTGGGCGGCTCCAGGACAGCCTCCGGGGTGGATTTCAGCCTCCCTTGATTCAGATCATAAATACCTCGGAGGCTTTTTCGACGACAATGCTGGACTTGCGACTTCTAACCTAGATGACAGAATCGATATCTTGGTTGATCATTGGGATGTCATCACACGCACCTTGTCACATCTTGAGAAGTTAGCAAGTAAAGAAATTCTTACTGCTCTGAAACGAGTCGATTACTTTTCAACTCAGCAACCAAAGCCTGCCAAAGCACCTAATATGCAGCGAACAAACCAAACTATTGTGCAACTTCCTCCAAGGGTTTTATCAGGCGTGTCGAACCTTAGATCCGAGGCTGTACGCGCCACTCAAAGGATTAGCACGGCCCTACGAATTCCCCATGTTGCAACCGGCCAAGGTCGATGGGGTGTTTGGAGAGAAGAAGCCAGGTGGATCGCTAAATTACTAAGTGATAAGGAACATAATTTTTTTTTCTTGGTGCTAATAACTGCATTTCTGGGAAATCATACTGAGTGGCTGAGCTCTCTTGGCCCTGACTGGCATAGGCGACGATATTACCTACAGCAGAGGGCTCACCAAGATACAGAACCATCTATACCCAGTCGCACCGTTATTGTTTCAACTGATAAAATGACTGCTAGACGATTGATTTTTGTTCTCTCTGCATTCTTGCCAACCCAACAACGATCAGATGCATTTGCATCACCTTTACGACCTGGCACGTCAACTTCCCTATGTCCTGTTTCCCAGAGTCCTCCCAGTGCTCCTCTTTTGAGACAGGAATCTCTTCGACGCACAATCAACAGACGCACACGAGCTCGACAGCTTCATGATGACGAGGTTGACGACCATAGACGTTCACCAAGCGCCTCATCAACTGAAGCCGGGATTATTCCATTGGATGATGTTGATTTCGTCAAGTGTGCGGATCATTACAAATCCCGGAGAGACTCTGATGTTCGATCTATTAGGACGGCTAGCCTACCCATACCGTCTAACGATGCTAGCACCAGAAAGAGCTCCACTGCTACCATTGCTGCTGCTGCACCTGGCACTGCCACCCCAGTTCCACACTTTGCATCCCAGCGAGGTAGACGTGGTGCTATTGGAGGGAGGCGTTTAGCTTTAGATACTAATGGAAGCGCAGCCTCTGCCAATCTTTTGCAGAACCTCCGTAGAAGTGAAGGTTCCAATCTCGCTTCGGAAGGAGGCGAACATCAGCCCTCTGGTAGATGGGGTGGCTTGCTTTTGGGGCTTTGGGGTTCCCGCGAGTCCGCTACTTCTCCAAATAGAGCTGATTCACCGTTAGTTGGGAGCCTAAAAGGCAAAACCCCAGCATCTGGCCCTGATGGAAACCAAGACAGGCAGGAAGCAATAAGTAACGGAACAAGGGAAGAAATCGCTAACGATACTGTTAAAACGTCTGATAACATATCCGTTCCAACATTTCCTCCACCTAACGCGGCTTTATCTGAGTCAGTTGACTCGCGAGATGCGAGACCGAAACCGGATATCCAAATGCCCAACTCTCCCATGAAACTCTCGGTGGGTTTACACGATGGTGTGATCGATGTTGATGTACCTTTGCCTGGATTTATCTCTCTGTCTTCTTCGGGAGACTCAACATTAGCATCACCCAAAAAGACCCGCACCTCAATCACTAGTCTTGATGGTATTGGTTCAGTCCATAGTTTTGGTTCTGGATTCCATCTCGTGAATAATAGGGAGTACGATGGAGTGCATGTCAATGTCGCAGGTTGGTTAAAGCGCTGCCATGAAGATTTCCTTCTTCAAGCTGTCCACCCGTACCACACATTGGAAGCAGATATCAAACGTGCGATGTCTGCTGAACCTACTCCGCCTCATATTCTATTACCTTTCCTTTCCGACTTTGACGGAACCCTCCTTGAGAAGTGGGTTGATGTATGTACCACGCTCGTTGCAGATACAAAAACCTTTACCGTGAAGAAATTGCGCTTGCGACGCAGAATCACAACCAACCGTTCTCGAACAGCTTCTCATTCTCGAGATAATTCCCGTCAACCTTCACTATACGAGGCTCCTGAAACACCGTCTTCCACTTCGCAATCTCCAAACTTCTTCTCTGGGGCTACCAAGACACCAACCTCTCCTCGATCACCGCGACTAGACCCGTTCGATGTAGAAGAAATCTTTGTCGAAGAACCGGTTATGGACCTTGACCCAACCCTCGTTGATGCTATCGAGAAAGTTTTAGCACGGAGCGGAGAATCGTCCCTAGCTCATTCTAGGGCACCATCGCCAAATCGCAATCGTAAGGATAAACCAAGCAACCAAGGGTCAGACAAACAGGCCGCCAACCCACAAGCGGAGCCTATCTCATCCGTCGAAGTTCCGCGGAATAAATGTAGACGTATAGTCCTAGGTGCCCTTGAGGAAGTTGTCCGCAGCGTGGCAGGGGAACATGGCCAGGAAGAACCAGCTTCTGTCACTGGCAACGTTCCAGGAATGCCCTCGTCCCGTCGTGGAAATGGCACAGGCGCAGTCGCAGATAACACCTTGAGAGAAGGGATAAGGAAATGGCTCATCGATATCGAAGAAGCTTGCTAACATTTACCAGTTTACACTATTTAACCCGATCATACTCTACGCTAAAGCTATTTCATTGCGTCACAGTGCCTTTTTTCCAGGTCTGTCTTGTTCGTCTTGAAAGTTTATCCCGGAATATTCTCTCTTTCTTCAACCATTTATTTCGTTATTTTCGGCGCGCTACATTTTGTAAATACTTTGACATTTTAATACTTTTTGGTGTTGCTGTTGGTTTTCGCACGACACTCATGAGCCGGAAGGCGCCGGGGTGCCTGCAGCCATTTTTGTTTCCCCCTCATTATTTTGCTCTGGAGCGTATGATACCCTGTCTTTTCATTTGTGCTTATTCTGTTTCGTGAGACACGTCTCAGTACCTGCGAACTTTCAGTTCTAACACAATTCTCCTCAATTCTTTTCCCTAGCTGCATGCGACTTGCATGCTTTATGAGCATATATTTTAATATTTGTCTCTTGTCATTACATTATGTCTATCTTTGTATCTTTTTGCATCAAACTTTATGTGTCACTGCTGTCTTGAGTTATATATTTTATTTTAGCATTTATCTTCTATTTACTGAATTTATATATAGTAATTTACTTTGCAATTTGAAGTTATTTATTCTACATTTTAATGTTCATATTTCATATTTTATTTTTTATACAAGTATATAACCTTCTATTTCTGATAATATTTAATATTTCAGAATTATCAGATAATAGTTTATAAATAAATATATTAATATATTTTAAAATTATTCACATTATTTAAGTATTTAAATGTTTAAAAAAGTATTAAATATTTAATTATAATTAATAATAAATCTGAGATTAAATTATTGATTAAAATATATATAAAAAATATTAATATTATTATAAAATATAATATATATATAAAAACTTTTATTATAGTAATTATTATTTTTTAAAAAAAAAAATTAATAATTATTTAATAAATTAAATTTAATTAAAAAATATTTAAAAAATAATAATATATAAAATAATAATTTTAATAATAAATTAAGAAAATAAATAGTAAAATAAATATTAAAAAATTTATTTTATTTAGAAAGATTTTTTTAAATAATTATTTAAATATATTTTAATATTAATATATAATGAAGGTAATATAATATAATAGTTAGTTATTTATCAAGATCTATCTATTATACAGTTCTTTATATATGTAGATATTTATTAAGTAATCAGTGAATATCTTACTTATATAAAAGTAGTCAGTCTGTAGAGAGAGAATTTAACATTTCTCTTAACTACTACTTTACTAAGCAGATATTTACAACTCAGTAGAGCAGTTCTATAACTGAAGAAAGAATATTATATATAAAAATAATAGTGTCTTCTATTAAAGATTTAGTGAAGAACTAACAAGAGTTGAAGAATAAAAATAAAGAAAACAGTAAAATAAATAAATGAATAAACTATTATAGAGATAGCAGATTAATAAGACTCTGTATCTATCAGAATATCTTCAGAGCTTTTATTAAAGTGTTCACAGTTATGCTGATAATATCTATCTGTATAATTTTAATAACATCAGCAGTGACGGCATTATAAATATGATGATGTTTGATATTAATATGATATATATTACAGGTGAGAATATGTAATTTGAGCCAGTCTTTGCAACTGCAGCAAGAGTGACCTCTCAGATACTATAAATAAGATAGATACAGTGATTGATTGTCACTGTGTAGAATTTTTAATCATTTTTATCAATTATTTCAAATTCAATTATTTAACAGTTTCTACTGTAAAGAAGTTCAAAATCAAATTCTTCATTATCAAGCTAGGTAAAGCTTAAGAGATAGCAGAATAATCTCAGTATATAATAGATATTCAGAAGATTAAGTTTCATTTTATTAATATGAATACAAGTAACAAGCTTCTCTTATATCTGTAGAAGTAATTAACTTATTATTTATTTCTTCTACAGAACTGAGATCTTTCTCATCAATAATTATTACTATTATTTTTGAATTATAGATGTATGCAGTCAGAGACTATGATATCTATCTGAGAACTTTTAGTTCTCAGAGTTTTTCTAATATCTCTAAAGTCAACTATTATACATTTACCAATTTCAGATATCTAAAATCAGAAAATTTCAGCTTAGAATATAAAAACTCTTTACAAATTGCAGTATTTTAACATCTTTTAATACTTTGAAACTATTTAGAAATATCATGACAAAAGAAAACAGAATAAAGTCTTAAAGATAGATATATTAAATAAGTAAATAGAAAAGAACAGAAAAGAAAAAATAAAGTAAAGAAAGTCTATAATAAAATAAAAATAGTAAAAGATAGTATATAGATGTTTTAACAGACTATATCTGATTAATTTCCATCTCTTCATATTCAGATATTTTTGAATTCAGTTATTTTCTTATAGCTGCTTGAGTTTCTGATAGAAAGTCTATGAAGTATTTAATTTCTGTCTCATTTGAAAATAAGAATCTCATGTTTAATTGATTTAAATCATACTTCTTCTTTAATCTGACTCTGGAACTATTGTATAATACATAATATATTATATTATACTCAGGATTTTCATTTGTATTGCAGAATGAGTATTTCATTGAGTCAAATCTATTATTAAATCTTTGTATATAACATTTAAAATAATCATATTCTAGTTTCAGCTGTATTATAGATGAGAATATTTTCTTTTTACATTTAATTAAACAAGATTTTCACTTAAGTTTTATCTCAAATCTTGAATAATGTATGCTCTTCTTTTATTTCTGATAACTTTTATTTCACTTATTTAAATAAGATTCTTTTATCTTCCTCTTTATAAAAGATCAGAATACTGTTTTTGAATAGATCTACTTAATTCTGAACTCTTTTTTACTACTGAATGAGTTAATTTATTATCATGAATATTTATATGAGTATAAACTTAATGCAGATGAATTATCAGTTTTAATATTTCTCTCTTTTGAACTTAAATAACAGAATTTAAAATCAGTTTAATATTCATTTAATCATTGTAAATCTAACTATTTTTAAGTCTTTTCAAAGTAGCTTGACTATCAGAGATTATTCATATTTTTTTCAAACTATTTTATCTTTTATAAGATTTTATTTTATTAAGTTTGAAAGCTTTCTCTAATATAAATAGTTCAGTATCAAAGACTTCAGATTCACAGTTTTAAATTTCAGAAATCCGAGATAACATTGCTATTATCTTCAGTATAAGTAATATCTGTATCTAATCTGTTTAAACTATTATTTTTTAAGTTATCTGAGTAAATTAGAATAGAGTCTTTTATATTAATTATAGAGATCTTCTTTAAATACTGTTCATATTCTCTCTCTTTATATAGTTCACTTATTTATAAGTCTATGAGAGATATCAGATTTTCTCTTCAGAGAGATATCTTCTCATGATCAATTTTCTCAATATTTAATAAAGAAAATTAATTTTTAATCAGTGAATATAGTTTATATACTTAAGAGAACATTTTCTTAAAAGAATTATTTTTATTTCAATTAAGAAATCTAGTTCAATTCAGTTCATTTCCTGAGTTAATTAATGAAAATGAAGAAGAGACTCTTTCTCTGATTATATATTTTAAGCTCATCTTTATGACTGTCAGAGTATAGTTTATACAGATCTTTTTAAATGAAATAGCAGAAGAAGAAATTGAAGCTTCAATTTTTATTACTTTAATAGAAGATGATTTAAATACTTTCAAAATTCTTCTCAAAGCTCTGTTTTACAGACTTTGAAAGAGATTAGTGAAACTATTTTGATTATTTTATCAAACTTAAACTTTATAATCAGCTACTGAGATGATACAGACTATGTATAACTTTCTTATAGTCTGAAAGAATAAACTTCTCTCTGTATTTAATAGTCTGATATACTATTCAGTAGTCTCTCTGTCTTGATAATTCTTTGTTGAATATAATATTTAAAATTCAACTTGAAGTTTAATTATACTTCTAGTCATTTAACATTCAAACTGAGTTTAATCTCTTTATTCAAAAGAGTTAGACTTAGTTTTTTCTCATTAAATCTGAGAAAAAAGTGAATTAACTGAGTTTTATTCATATTAAATTGAATTAGATTGATATCTGCTTTAACAAAGATTTTTTTTAATGTTTTTTCAATCACTTCTAAATTCTTCTTGATTATTTTTAAACTGTAGACTAGAGTAATATTATCTATATAACTTGAAGTTCTCACTATTTTTATATCTCTATTCTTGAATAGATATGTAGTGTATATTATAAATAAAATAGATGAGATTGAAGATTCTTATAATACTTTTATTTTTACCTCAGTCTTATCTTATTTCATTTTATCAAAGACTAGTTATATTATTCTTTTAGATATAAAAGAGTTAACTTATTTTATAGAGAAAGTGATAGTTTTAATATCTTCAAAGTTTGAATTATCTTTGACTTTAAAATATGATCAAATGCATCTTTTATATTAATAAAAACTACAGTTGAGATCAGTTCTTCATACTTTACTATTTAAATATCATGAATAACTGAAAGAATAGTATCAATTGTAGAGTATTGTTTTCTATCTCTTATTTATTCACTAAATAGAAGAGAATTACTAATACAGCTTATAAAAGATAGTCTAATAGCTATTATCTTTTCTAAAATCTTTCTCAGACAGTTTAATAGAAATATTACTCTATATACCTTAGAAATTAAAGCTTTTCTGTTAGATTTTATAAGAATCACTTAAATGAGTTCTTTTCAGCATTCAGAATGATAATCATTTTTCAAGAGATTAAAAAAGAGCTCAAAATATTTGTAGTTCAAGTAGAAATATTTATTTGAAATAATTAAGTGATTGATTGAATCAGGCTCAGCAGCAGTTTTAATTGAACTTGAGAAGATAGTTAACTGTAGTTCATTTTATATAAGTTCAGATCATTTTCTGTCATTTTCATTAATATAGTTATGAAGTAATATATTCTCTTTCTTCAAATCTAAATCTGATAAGTTTTGAAAGATAATTCTTATAAAAGCTTAATATTTTTTCTTAAAAGAATTTACTATATATAATTTATTCTGAAACTCATATTCTAAGACTCAAAGTTTTACTACACTTCTTGTTATAGTATAGTTGAAGACTTTAAAAACATCTTTTTTTTATACTTCTTCAAGAAATTTATTTCAGCAGTCTGTTTTAGCTCTTTTAATATCTGAAAAATATTCATTTCTGACAGCTTTGAACTCTTCATCAGATATTACATCATTCTTTCAATCTCTTCTAGCAGTAGCTAATTCTTTTCTTTTAGACATGATATTCTCATTTTATCAAGATTTGAAATACTCAGAAGATTTCTTCTTTGAAATATTATCTTTAATACTTATTAGAATAATAGATGTAATCAGCTTTACTCTACTCTTAAGCATTTCATTTGAGATATCTTGACTGAGATTCAATAGAGCTTACTTTGCTTTTCAGATTTTAACAATTTTATACTTTCTTTAACTACTTTTCAATCAGCTTTTTCAGAGTTGTACTGATTAGAGAGAAGAGAATTATCACTTATTTATTTTTCACTCAGTTTAATATTAAATTGAATAATCTCATGATCTGATTCTGATGTCTCATTTGAATTAATAAATCAAATTATAAGTCTTTTATCAATTAAATTTTATAATAT